CTTGGGTACTTTTTTCTTGGAGTTCGACGCCATTGTCTGCGCTATCGAACTTGTGGGGGAGGCGATGCAACTCGACCGCTGGTGGAGTCACTTCACGGCAAGTTTTACCACAAATTATCCCTTGCCCCCTCATGGGACACGAGGAAAGGCGGTTACGAGATTTCACGCCAATTTGGCAAGAAGACTTTCCGCTGTCCTGGATATCTACAAAAGGGGAGTGCGCCCTTCACTGAGGGATGTTGTTGCCCTGAAAAGACTGCTGTTCTGCTCTCCAGAAGGCAATCATAAATTTAAAAGACATCTCTGGGCTCCGTGGCGGAAGGATGGAGGGTGTTAGGTGGAGGCTATCCTTAAAGCATGCACCTTTATCTTGTTTGAGATATGGACATCTGATGCAAGAGGTATATGCAGAATGCTTCTTCAAATCACACCGAACCGTGTCACTGACCAGGAAAGCACAGTGCGCAGCCAGCTTAACAGAGTAGGTTCACTGCGGGGACGCTGTGGCATGCCTTTGAAGCGACAATGACCTTCTAGGATAGACTGTGTCAACCCTTGTAAGCGCGCTTGTGTCGCAAGGCAATGCTCGCAGGCCTTCGTGTCTTCTTGGCAGCGCGCAGTTGGCGAATGCCAACTCCCTAATCTGCGTCTTCGCATGCAGGATTTCGTGCTGTGTACCGTTGCGCGATTATAGGCAAATTGCAATTGCACAGAGCCCAAAGCAAAATGTGCAGTTTTGTGGGGGGCTGCTGCCTTTTCTTGCAAGACTTACTTATTGGCCGCATGTATGGCTGTACAGTTCGTTTCCGTTAGACTTCTGGCAACAATACGTTTACGTTCACCAGCTGCCCAGCCCCGATCTGCTTTGGCCGCCACAGCCTTGCAACATGTGGCTTAGGTTATTTATTTCTCCCAACAAGGCTGGCCAGGTCTAGAAATAGTGATGAAAGTTGCAAGATGACCCCAGCTCTAGAAGCGGTGAGCTAGAAAGGCGAACTTGCAGGAGGCCGATGCTCAGTAAAGGATGAAGAACACCTAATTTTGCATGCGCCTCCCAGTTTTTGCGGCAGAGTCTGCGGCAGTGCAGCCGAGATATAGGGATTAGGTGCGCAGCTCAGTAGCATATGAGGGCTCATGGCGCTCCAGTTCCAGGAGGAGTCGCCATCGAATGCAGAGGCAGCGAATGCCTTACCTATCTTGAAACATCCAACTCATTCATCCAAAAGTGCGATACGGCCGTGCAGCAATTGTTTCCACTCCTCAGCCTGCTCAAGGAGGCCTTCACCANAAAAGTGCGATACGGCCGTGCAGCAATTGTTTCCACTCCTCAGCCTGCTCAAGGAGGCCTTCACCACATACCTGCCTTCACTGCCTTGGAGTCAGCATAACCACGACGCCTTTTTCGGCAGATTACCACATAGCATGAACAGAAGCAAGGCCCCTACAGTGGCAGCTGACCCGATCCGCTCCATCGAGAGCCATGCACGGTCTGCAGAAGTGTCTTCTTGACGTTAACTTAGGCTCTCTGGCCTGCCCGAAACGCCATGCAAGGCCTGCGCATTTCGCACTCCTGTTCTGGCCTACCGTGCATACCACCAGGTTGGGCTCATTTTATGTGTGCATCAGTCGAATGAATTCTGCGGAATGCACAAAGCACGCAATATCCCACTTCGATTGCTTGAAATAAGAGGCCTCTAGCGCCGCTCGGTACCCTCTTTTCTGTTCGCATCTATCTGTTGGTTGCCCAGGGGTAGAGACCCTTTTCACTCCGTTTGCCCATGTGGTTTCTCTTTTCCTGCACTCCCCCTGAAATGGCCACTACTGCCACAGTCCTGGCGTCTCAGTGTATTTGGGGCTCTAGACCTTAGGTTCGCAAGCTTTTGCAACTAATCCGCGTAGGGCCTGCGCTACTTGCAGGACCGGGAGGGTTTGTGTCGTCTTACGTGTTGCGCGCTCCTCTGCACTTGCTTGCGGTGTGCTATCGTTCTGCCGTTTTATGTCATCTCGGGGGGTCCCAAGCTAGGTCTTCGATGTCGCTACCTTCTGGTTCAGGCTGAAATTCCGCTTTTCGCAGTACCCCTGCAGCGTTAGCAGAAGTAGAGGAATGCATTACTTGACTTCTTGTCTAGCAAAGTGGGGAATATCCGTACTGCTGTCAGAGTGTTTTTCTTGAATTGTTTCACACTTTCTTCCCTAGTACAATTCAACAGTCCTCCTGACAAGCACGGTACGTAGTTGCTTGCTTGCCAGTTCAACACAGCATATCTATATATTCCTCTGCAAAGTGGCCCTATGTTTGCCTTCATTCCCTTACCGCATGCATTTCGTCGCCTAATATTTCTGTTGCCATTATTGTCAAAATAGAACTTCATTGTATCGATACCCATTGCAAGATCAGGTCCATCAAAGTCATGTACTCGTCTTTCGCTATCTGCAAAGCGGTGAAAAACTGGGCAGAGAAATACAACCGGCTATCCCTGCTTCCGTCTGAAGTTTGTACAGTTTCTGTTAGGTGACACTTGGCTGCTTCGTGGAGCGTGTCCTCAGTAATGCTTCATCTATTGCTCTTTGCAAAGAACGAAGAGGTCGTCCCTCACGGCGAATAGATGCCCAACGAATAGTTGCAGACGAATACAGTGCAGACTTTCTACACGGGTGTCATGTGCGCGTTTGCGCCCGCAACGACTCGCTCCAAATTACTGAGTTCTTGGCAGTCGTCGATCCGCTGGCCCTCTGGGCTTATGGCCCCTAGTTTCCTTACCCTCTCAGTTTTCTGTCTACTCTCGTCCTTCGATGACTCTGTTCCCCTTGTGAGCCCCGGGTGCTTTCGCACCCGCAACGACTCGCCCCAAATTAGTGAGTTCTTGGTAGTCGTCGATCCGCTGGCCCTCTGGGCTTATGGCCCCTAGTTTCCTTATATAGTTAATCTCCTTTTGCTTCTTCCGTTTACGGTAGGTTGCTATATTATTTCGACGCAGTCCCCCTTGGGGAGCTTCCGGCCCTGTAGCAAGTAGAAACGCCTTCTTCCCCTCTGAGAGTTCCTGAAAGCCCTCGCGTCCTCTCGTGAAAGCGTGCAGCTTTCAGTTTGGAGGAGTGGCCTTGCATACCAACCAGTCTATACCGAGTTGTGTGTCTAGCAGTTGCAGTACTGTACGAGGAATCTTTTCTTGCTGATGACATTTTGGTTTGCTTTATCGGAAGGCGCCTGGTGCTAGCAGGCCTTGCGAGCTCGACCCACTATGAGGAAGCACACTACACTGACAGGGCGTGCAAACTCCCTAGCCAGATACGATTTTGTAGGACGGTCTGCCCAACATTGCTACTTGAAGCTTCACTTGTCAGAAGGTGGGCTAATGACGGCCATCTAAGTTTTTAACAGTTTTCTGTGGTGGTAGTGCTTGCATCAAACAAGGAGTTGGGTACAACTACATGTCAGGCTGCCTTGTGGCAGAAATTACTGCACAATTTGCGGAAACTCATAACATTCATCGTCCTCTCCTCACCAGCTGCATGCCTATGTGCCGCTGTGCAGATGGCGCCTACTGGCGCGAGGCGACACCAGCTGTTCTTTGCGGAACTCATACCCGAATTAATTTGACCCCGTTACAGCCGAAGATGGCCCGTTGCTAGTTTTAACGGGTTTCTGTGGGGCAATTGCACCCAATGGTAAGACAAATGGCGCATTCCTGTAACTTCTGCGGGGAAGGGCGTGTGCAGCGCGTTGTTTCTTCTCGTCATCGTAGACAGGGGGGAAAAAGGAGACATAAACTGCAGTGACGATGTCCTTAAACGTTTTTGGTGTTGTTTGCGAGCCCTAGAGTATACTCGTCAACTGAAGCTCAAAGTTAGTATGCTGGAGAATCCCGAAGGGGATTCTGCAGCATACCAACTTCAAGACAAGCGGCTCTACTGTTGGTAAAATTGAGCGCGAACGTCCAAATGACCCGTACGCAATCAGCAACGAAGACAATTTATTTTTGCGTACTATTAATATGTGAACAAGGAGAAATGGGCTGGGCCTTCTAGGAATGACTGCTGTTTCAGTAGAATCGGTTGGCAGTGGTCGTGGCCGCACGGTGGGGAGACAGCCACACTAGCCACACTAGCGATATACGTTCTTTTGCCACGACTACCCACACCTTCACACCTTCGTGAAGCTTTTCAGTCATTATAGAACAAAAAAAATCACCTAGACTCCTTGAAGTAGTTTTGGCCGACGCTATCCAACGTGCTGCACTGGGTAGGACAAGCATTGCTCTGAGTGGCAACTCATCGCAGTGCCACCCTCGTGGAGAGCTGTTGTTAGCACTGAAGAGAACATTGCAACTTGCGCTTTCAGATGGCTCAAGGGTTTGCTTAGTTATTTTCTCCATCAAATAGAGTTACTCCTCCAATGCCCCTGTCTACTTTGGTGACAGGAACCTTGATCTCGATGTTGTATCTGTCCTTCCTGCCACGGGGCCAACAGACGATCAGCAGCAACTGATCGCACGGAATTTGTCACTGCCTCTCGAGAAGACGAGAGAATTTGAGGAGCCTTTAGTGATGCATGCTTCATACGTTGGCCAGGAAACTTGGAGTCGACTGGCCCAGCCAACGAAACGAAGTCGGCCTTCCCGGTCACCCCTTCAGAAACCGTCCCTCCGTTTCGTCCTAGCCACAGCGGTTTCAGTTGTAATAATTTTAGCATCTTTCTCCATATGCAGGACTCTCCTCAGCAGAGACATGTTCTCAGGAGTGACACACCGGGAGCTGGCTGAGGGCGGGGAGGGCATCGATGAAGAAGAGCATGCCATCATAGAAGGGTGTTTGGAGTTGGAGGAGGAGATGGGGCTTATGGAGGAGAGGGCATCTTCAAGCNCATAGAAGGGTGTTTGGAGTTGGAGGAGGAGATGGGGCTTATGGAGGAGAGGGCATCTTCAAGCTCTGAAGGTAACTGGTCACGCCGGGTAGTTGAGCTAGTTTCAATGCTGTCAAGGGCTGCCGCAGCTCAGGAATCAATGCAAGTACATGTTCAAACCGAGCAGCAGTTGCACTTAGGCGAACCGCTTCTGGAGGGACGAAGCGATTTGGAGACTGAAGATGATGAACTCGGAAGTGTTGAGACTCCTGCATTCCAGACATCCGTTCAACCAGGTGGACCCGGTGGTCTGACGCCGGGTCTGGAACCCGATTCGTGGTTAGAGGCAGTTCAAAGCATCACCCGTTCTCCTGAGGCGCAGGGAGTAGCTGGGGCTTCACCAGTTACTGACGGTGCTTCAAACGCTGGACAAGCGTCAGCGTCATCTGCACCGAGGCAAGGGGATCGAGGAGGCCTCAAAGATCTCCTCAACGTTGGCGGCATTCAAAAGCATCCATACGTTCGGCTGCCAGTCCTGCAGAAAGGTGTCGTTCCTAGGCCCATCTGTGTGCCTCTCCTCTTTGATGAAATCCAGAGGAGGTTCTCACACCATGCCTACCTGTCGACGATGCGGAAGATATTTGCGCTGGAGACACTCAACCAGGAGCATGTAGATGTTCTCATAGATGCCGTCGAGCGACTGGTGACTACATCGTGGTTCCAAAGCCGAAGTAAGCAGATGCGTTTCTCGCCTGTTTTCGCTGTCGAAACGTTGGGTGTTTATTTCATGGTATTCGATGCCCTCGTGTGTGCTTCCCAACTTTTGGGGGAGAGTATGCAGAGTCATCTGTGGTGGGAGAAATTCACAGCAGCCTTCAACACGGACTTCAAGTTGCCTGATCCAAAATCAATTGCGCAAGAGACACGACGATTTTACGTCACCTTAGCAAGACGACTTGCCGCTGCCCTGGATATCTACAAACAGGGAATGCGCCCTCCAGCTCTGGAAGTATATACGCTGAAGAAACTGTTGTTTTGCTTTCCACTCGGCAACCATCGGTTGAAGCGTCCTACGTGGGACCCATGGAAACGCGATGGCCAGTGTTTGTAAAGCGCGGATATTTCTTCCTCGGCAGAGGCATCCGTACGACGACGTGTGCAGGATGCGTCGAAGGGATATCTTTTCCGTTCCTGGATCGCGCCTAAGCGTGCCACTGAGCAATACACTAGGATGCCCACCAAGCTCAAAAGTGTAGGATGACTGAGCGGAATCCATGAACGGCCGTCCAAGCAGCAACATCCTTCTGATATCGACTTTGTCAACACCGCAGAGCAGATTTGGGTTGAACGGCGGTACTCGCAGGCGTTTGCTTCTTTTCGGCATCTCACAGTTGGCAGTGCCAACTCATTAATGTGCACACCTTCATTAATGTGCGCTCTTGCATTAATGTGGGCTCTTGCATCAATGTGCGCTTTTGCGTGAAGGATTCAATGTTGAGTAGCATTGCGCTATGGTAAGCAAATGTTGAGAAAGGCTTGCCGTGGTACAGAAGCTTGTACCATGCTTAGAGCAACAAGTACTATTCGTTGCTTGCGATGAGCTGCTTATATCTCCCGCGGAGAATAATTCTTGGCCGTGAATGTGGCTGCGCAGTTCGTCTCCTTTAAATTTCTTTTCAAAAGGTGCACGTGCGTTCACAAGTTCACGGAACTGCCGACTTTCTTCTGCAGCAACAGCCGTTCACAGGGCTGCAAATGTTCCTTAGCATCCACAGCCGTGCAACCTGTAGATGAGGTGAATCATTTCTTCCGGAAGGCCTGGCAAACTACACAAATAGTGATAAATGATGCAGGACTATCCACGCTCTAGCAGTGGTGAGCTAGAAACGCCAACTTGCAGGGAGCTGTTGCTCAGTAGAGGATAAAGAACACCTAATTTTGCATGCGCCTCCCAGTTTTCGCGGCAGAGTCTGCGGCAGTGCAGCCTACATATAGGGATTAGGTGCGCAGCTCAGTAGCACATGAGGGCGCATGGCGCTCCTGTTCCAGGAGGGGTCGCCATTAGAGGCAGCGAATGCCTTACCTATCTGGAAACATCCAGCTCGTTAATCCAAAAGTGCGATACGGCCGTGCAGCAATTGTTTCCACTCCTCAGCCTGCTCAAGGAGGCCTTCACCANAAAAGTGCGATACGGCCGTGCAGCAATTGTTTCCACTCCTCAGCCTGCTCAAGGAGGCCTTCACCACATAGCTGCCTTCACTGCCTTGAAGTCAGCATAACCACGACGTCTTTTTCGGCAGATTTCCACATAGCATGAACAGAAGCAAGGCCTCTACAGTGACAACTGACCCGATCCGCTCCATCGTGAGCCATGCGCGGTCTGCAGAAGTGTCTTCTTGACGTTAACTTAGGCACTCTGGCCTGCCCGAAACGTTATGCAAGACCTACCCATTTCGCACTCCTGCTCCGATCATTTTTTCATACCACCAGGTTGGGCTCATTTTATGTGTGCATCAGTCGAATGAATTCTGCGGAATGCACAAAGCACTCCCTATCGCACCTGCAAGCGACCGACGCCAGATACATAGAGAAAAGCAGAAGCCTCTCAGACTCCCGAAAGCAGCGGCAGACTGATTTGGCTCCATTGCCACCCAGCACACGCTTGACTGTTTAGGGGTTTAGGGACTATCCTTCTCGTTGACAGGTAAAATTGGGGGGCGAACCTCCAAATGACCCATAAGCAGTGAGCGCCGAGGATATTACTTTTTTGCACACGATCAAAAGGCACCACAAGGAAAGTATGCCACGAGCTTTACATTTGTTTCTCTGTAAGTTGCCGCTCGTCTTCGCCTCGCCAAGGGCCCGGTTGGGGACCACGCGTCGCCAACCTACATGCGTTTCGCCAATTGCTATACGCACCTTCCCGAAGAGTTTCTTATTATGTAAAACCCTAGGTAATATTAGCTGGAGTCGTTTGAGCTGCTCCAGCCGGCCCTTGGAAGGGCAATGCTCGGTGTGGGCTCTGGAGTGATTCTTGCAGCCGTCCCAATGGAACCCCAGTGGGGGGGCCGGTTTCCACCCCCGTCAAACACACGGGAAATTCCGTTTTTTGATGCCTAAATAGTTAACGTAGCTAAACACTTCGGCAAATAGATCTGCCTCTTTAAATTTCTCGGTTACCTCGTTCGATAGGAGAGCCACTGACCTCGATGCTACTACACGCGTCACCTTTTGGCGCGAGACCATCAGTCAATCAGCAGCTTCTAACTGAACGGAAATTGTCTTTCCCTCTCACAAACAAGAGAAAACTGGAGGGTATTTTGATGACGTCTATTCCATACGCTGGCCAGGAGACTTGGAGTCGACTGGCCCAGCCAACGCAACGAAATCGACATTCCCGGCCAAGACTTCACAAGCTGTTGCGGGGTATCTTCCTGGCTACAGCGGCTTCAGTTGTAATAATTTTAGCATCGTTATCCATATGCAGAACTCTCAGCGGCAGGTACAAGTTCTCAGGAGTGACGCACAGGGAGCTGGCTGAGGGCGGGGAGGGCATCGATGAAGAACAGCATGCCATCATAGAAGGGTGTTTGGAGTTGGAGGAGGAGATGGGGCTTATGGAGCACCGGGCAGCTTCCGCTTCTGAAGGAGACTGGTCAAGCCGGGTAGCGGAGCTAGTTTCAATGCTGTCAGGGGCCGCCGCAGCTCAGCAAACAATGCAAGAACATGTTCAAACCGAGCAGCAGCTGCAATTAGGCAAGCAGTTTCTGGAGGGACGAAGCGATTTGGAGACTGAAGACGTTGAACTCGGAAGTGTTGAGACTCCTGCATTCCATGCATCCGTTCAACCAGGTGGACCCGGTGGTCTGATGCCGGGTCTGGAACCCGATTCGTGGTTAGAGGCAGTTCCAAGCATCACCCGTTCTCCTGAGGCGCAGGGAGTAGCTGGGCCTTCACCAGTTACTGACGGTGCTTCAAACGCTGGACAAGCTTCAGCGTCACCTGCACCGAGGCAAGGGGATGGAGGAGGCCTCAAATATCTCCTCAACGTTGGCGGCATTCAAAAGCATCCGTACGTTCGGCTGCCAGTCCTGCAGGAAGGTGTCGTTCCTAGGCCCATCCGCGTATCTGTGCTCTTTGATAAAAGCTTTAGGAGGCCCTCATACCATTCCTACCTGCTGGCACTGCGGAGGTTATTTGCAAAGGATACACTTGACCAGGAAGATGTAAATGTTATCGTGCCTGCCGTTGAGAAACTGGTGAATACATCGTGGTTCCAAAGCCGAAGTGGACCAAGGGGTCCTTCACCTGTTAACATTGCTGAGACTTACGGTTGTTATTTCATGGTATTCGATGCCGTCGTGTGTGCTTCTCAACTATTGGGGGAGCATATGCAGCGTCATCTGTGGTGGGACAAATTCATAGCAAGCTTCAACACGAATTTCCCTCTTCCCGTTTCAGGGCGACGTGAATGCGAGCTTACGAAATTTCATGTCGACTTGGCGAAACGGCTCGCCGCTGCCCTGGATATCTACAAACAGGGAATCCGCCCTGCACTTTCGGAAGTATATGCGCTGAAGAAATTGCTGTTCTGCTACCCACTTGGCCACCACCGGTTAAAGAGTTCTATATGGGAACCATGGCAAAAAGATGGAAACTGCTAGAGCGTCGACATTTTTTCTTTGGCTAATGTATCCGTATCTCAGTGCAGTAGGCTTCTTAAATTCACGCCGTACTGTGTCGCTACCCAGTACAGCAGGATGCTCACCCAGATCAAGTGTAGGGTCCTTGCGTGGAAGCCATGAGACGCAGTCGAAGTGGCAACACCCTCGCAGAATGGACTGTGTCAACGGCCTAAAGCGTGCTTTTGCTGCACGGCGGTACTCACAGGTGTTTGCTTCTTTTCGATATCCCGCAGTTGGTGTTTTTCAACTCACTAATTTGCACTACCGCGGGCAAGATTCTGTGTTGTGTAGTGTTGCGCCGCAGTAGGCAAATTGTGACAATGGTTTGCTGTGGTACAGGAGTGGCATATGGTCAGTGCTTTGCGATGAGCTGCTCATTCCTACAGCATAAACTGTTTCTTTGCCGCGCAAGCGGCTGCGCAGTTTGATTTCTTTAAGGCCTTTTCTCGCAAGACGAGTTCACGCAGCCGCCAATGTGCCTTACGACCCACAGCGTGTTACGGAACTGCCGAAGCTCTTCGGTAGCCATAGCTTGTCAGTGTGTAGCTAGGCTTGTTCTTCAAGCAAGCCGGGCAAGCTGTAGGACTAATGAATAAAGATCCAGGAATACTACAGCCCTAGCAGTGATGCGGAAGCAGCACGAGCTTGCAGGCCGCTTATGCGTGATGGAGGCTGCATAACAGTTAACTCTGCTTAGGCCTCCCAGTTTATGTTGACAGTGTTCTTTTCAGCGCTCACCACATCTACGGGGTAACGGTGTAGCTCAGCAGCCGACGAGGGCCCACTGCTCACCAGTTGCAGGAGTACTGGAAACTAGTTGCAGATAACTTTTTGTCTGTCTGAGAACGAAGAAGCATAAAGTCTCGAACCAATTAGCCAGCCTTCTCCGGTAGTGACCTGGATACAATTGTTTTACAATCCTCAGCCTGTACAAGGAGGCATTCACCATATAGGTGCCTTCACAATCTCTCCGCCAACAGATTGACGTAAGACGTAGAGGCATTTTTCACTGCCTGGGAATAAACAAGCACAAGCGCTTCAAGCCATCCACCTACCTTCGCCAAGCCAGCCTTGGACAGATTGCTTTACAATCTTCGGCAGACATGCGACGCGGAATGAACAAAAGCAGAGCCGCTACAGTGAGGCCTGACCCGATTCTCTCAATCGGCAGCCGTAGCAACTCTACGGCTTGTTTGTGCAGACAGGAGGCTACACGGCCTGTCTGCAACTTCACGTAGGACTCACGCATTCCGCACACCCGCTCTGAAGGCCCTTGTATCGTGCATACCGCTGGCGTGGGCACGTCTTATGCATTCAACCGTCAAATAACAATTGCTAAGAACTCCAAGCAAGGGTTATAGCACTCCGGGTGCTTCACGTCAACAGCCTGTAAGGCCCTTCTCAGGAATGCATACCCAGAAAGACGAGCGGATTACATGTGCGAAGGGATCGGCGGGAGCCAGCCAGAGAAAACAAAGCAGGCGCCTCTCACCCTCGCAGCGGCCTGCTTTGGCTCCGCTACGACCCAGACCACGCCGGAAATTCCTTTGCGCGGAACGCTCATTTTTCCTCTCAACTATGTGTTTGCTGCGCAGGCTCGTGGAGTCCCTTTCTAGCCCATTTGCCCATATAGCTTCTCTGTTGCCGCACACAACCTCCAGACTAGTATGATCCTACGGTAGTTGGGGCTCTTGGCCTTAAGTCCGCAAAGGTTTGCACTACTCCAGTTTGTACTTGGGCTACTTACAGGGCACAGTAAGACTGTGCCCTCTCAAGCCCCGCCGCTTTCTCTGCACTGGCTTCCGGCATGCTATATTGCTGCCGTTGCTCCTCTTGTACGGGCGCTGTAGGCTAGGTCTGCTACATTGCTGGCTTCTGTTCTTGATTGGAATTCCGGTTTCCGCGATGCATGCCAGTCAGGGCATGGTCTCCTTGGTTGGTGATGCTGTCGAACTAAACTCGTCGCCTCATGCGGTCTGTTTCTAGCACCTCTGCAGTGCTAGTGGATGTAGAACACCGCGGACATTCTTCATTTTGTCTTATGAACCCCTACCTGTGTGCATAATTGGAGTTGCTCCACACTTCCTGAACAAATAAAATTCTACACTTTTCTTCGCACGGAGGTTGTAAAGCTGCTGCAGTACAACCGCTACAGAGAAAGTTAATCCCCTTCTGGTTCTTTGCCTACCCCAACTCCCGTACCACATCTAATTCATTGACCGACGTTTTTGTCCTGTCCCTGTTCAAAATACAACACCACTGGAAAATTAGTTCTGTCAAAGTCATAGATGTATCCTTCTCTATCAGCTGAAAGTTGGCAAACGGCGTACGGAAAAACAGCCTGGCTGTCTCGCTGCTTCTCCCTTCATTTTGGCAAGTCCGCCCCTGGCTTTGCGCCTGTTGTTTTCTCGCAGTGTGTCCCCGCTGAGAAGATTTGCACTGTATTTCTCTGCAGCTTTTAATCGCCCGTCTACCTTCTGCGTGTCTGTTGGCTGGCCCTTTCAGCTGAGGGACCGATACCTTGCCACTTCTTCAATCTGCTTTCGCCCGCTGTTTACTGTGGTTCCCTTGTGAATCCCATCCCTTATATCCTTGCTTTTCCGGGGTGGAGCGCGTTTCCACGTGCCTTCGACGCGGGTTCCTCTTGCAGAGTTGCCCACGTGTCAGCGAGTAGGAACATCTTGCTTACTCTATGCTAAGTAGCGATATCGCTCGCCCCCCGTTCTAAAAACGAGCAGGCCTCAGGTTTTAGGAGTGAATTTGCATAACGCCTACCTCAGGTGACGTTGATGAGGAAGCCTGGTCTCTTCACCGTTTTTTTGTATGCTGGTGGCACTTGCACTGGAAGCTGTTACGCAGAAGGTGAGCTTTTGTATGCAGGGGGAGTGTCCGCTTGCCAACAATTTCGTCACACTACAGGGAGTCCCACTAAGCTCCCAGGACTTGTGACATCAACCTGTTATGGGGGAAAACATAGGAGCCCCCGCTCCTAACCTCCTCAATATTGAATGCTCTTGCCATATGATCTGTCTAACGTTGCTACTTGTAATTCTACTTGCCGGCAGCATGGCTAATGGAGCCATATAAGTATTCCACTGTTGTGTGCTGTGTTAGTACTTCCATCAATAGAAGGCTTGCGCGCGGTTGCATGTGGGGTTGCATTGCAGCAGGGGTTGCAACAAGGTGTGCTGCGACTCGTGTCAGTCAGCCTTCTCTCGTCACCAGTCCCATGCCCTCTTGCAGCTGTGCTGCGGGCGCGCTGAAGACTGGAGGGGTGGCAAGATGCAGTATCTGTCACTCGATCCTATTGCTGCTCACAATGGTCCTCGGCTAAGGACTGTCGCTAGATCAACTGCGTTTAACAGTGAGACAAAGGGCAGACTCTCTTCATTTCTGCGAAAAAGGCCGTCACCAATGATTTGGAATTCATCGCTCTCCTAGCCTGGGGCTAAAGCCGAAAAAGGCTGGAGCGGCGATGTCTTTAGAAGGCTGCTGTTGTTCGCAGCGCGAGCTACACTGTGTATGACGACTAAAAATAGAGGTTAATTGGCTCTTTTTTCCAGTAAGAAAACTGTGCTATAAGGAAAAACTGAGATGGGTTTTATATGAATCAGGTAACGTTGCCAGCGGTCGAGCATCTCCATGACGACACGGTTGGGAACCTGTCACCCCCATCGCGATGTACTTCCCCTCACAGCTATCCTCACCTTCCCAACAACAATTCAGTCATTACAGAACAAATAGGTAATGTCGTCCGGATTTATTGGGGCAGTTCTAGCCCGCACTGGCAACCGTGCGGCATAGGTTCGTTTCAGGTTTTGTACTTATTGCAAAGCCATCCTTCCCAGTGGAACGGAATGCAGGAACCTCTTGTTAGCCCCGTCAAGAACACCGGCTTTTCAGTTCTGTGATGCCTCCCCGGTTAACATAGTTACATATGGCTGCTAATATATTTACCTCTTTGATGGTCCCGACAACTTTGTCGGAGGGAGAACCCTTGATCTCGCTGCTACCACACCCCTCCGTCTTGCCACGCGTCCATCAGTCCATCAGCAGCTTCTGACTACACGGAAATCGTATTTCCCCCTTACAAACAAGAGATAATTAGAAGGTATTTTAATGACGTCTATTAGATATGCTGGCCAGGAAACTTGGATTCAACTGGCCCATTCAACGCAGCGAAGTCGTTCACCCTGGTCACGACTTCACAACCTGCCGCGCAGTATCTTCCTAGCTGCGGCGGTTTCAGTTGCAATAATTTTAGTATCGTTCTCCATATGCAGGATTCACCGCAACAGATCCCAGGTCTCAGGAGTGACACGCCGGGAGCTGGCTGAGGGCGGGGAGGGCATCGATGAAGATGAGCTTGCCATCATAGAAGGGTGTTTGGAGTTGGAGGAGGAGATGGGGCTTATGGAGGAGAGGGCATCTTCAAGCNCATAGAAGGGTGTTTGGAGTTGGAGGAGGAGATGGGGCTTATGGAGGAGAGGGCATCTTCAAGCTCTGAACGTAACTGGTCAAGCCGGGTAGCGGAGCTAGTGTCAATGCTGTCAGAGACCGCGGCAGCTCGGGAATCAAGGCAAGAGCGTCTCCCAGTTGCCGCGCAGCTGCACTTAGGCAGGCAGTTGCTGGAAAGGCAAACTGTATTTCAACCACAGAGCAGTGAGCTGGTAGCTCTGCTTACTCGAGGGCAGTCACCTGGGGGAGCCTTTCGGCCGGATGGTCAGCCGCTGGCGCTGAACCCCGACTCGTGGTTAGAGGAAATTCCAAGCATCGGCGGTCGTCCTGAAGGGCCGGAAGGAGCTGGACCGTCTTCAGTTACTGCTGGCAAGTCAAAGACTGGTAAATTGCTAAACAGGCGTTCGTTGAGGCGACGGCGTCCAGGAGGCTTAAAGAAACTCCATTCACTTGAAGACATCAAAGAGCATGCATATGTTCGGCTTCCGGTGCTGGAGGAAGGTGTCGTTCCGAGATATATCCGAGTACCAGCCCTCTTTGATAAAGGGCAGAGGAAGTTTTCACCCCATCCCTACCTGCTGACGCTGCGGAGGTTATTTGCAAAGAGGAGACTCAACCAGCAGGATGCAGATATTCTCATGCATGCCGTCGAGCGGCTGGCGTCCGCAACTTTGTTTCGGGGCGAGAAAGTAATAAGCACTCCGTCCGCGTTTCATGTTGTTGAAGTCTTAGGTGATTATTTCATGATATTCGATGCAATCGTCTGTGCTTCCCAAGTTATGGGGAAGTACATGCAGCTTCCTCTGTGGTGGGGAAAATTCACAGCAAAAGTTCACACGAGTTATACGGTTTCGTCTGCAGGAGGAAACGGAAAACAAATATCGACATTTCACAGCAATTTAGCAGCACGGCTTATTGCTGCCCTGAATATCTACAAACGGGGAGAACGCCCTCCAGCTGAAGAAGTCTTCGCGCTGAAAGCTCTGCTTTTTTGCGCCCCTATGGGATACCATCGATTTAAAGGTCCTAAATGGGATCCATGGCGAAAAGATGGAGATTGCTCCTAGGGCATCGGTATTTTTTGGTTGGTGTATTCGTATCTGATAAAATGATGTTTGCAGAACTCTTCTTAAAATCACTGCCCAACTCAACAGGATGCTCACCCAGATGAAATGTAGGGTCCCTGCTTGGAAGCCATCAGGCGCCGTCGAAGCGGCATTGTGCGTGAAGAATGGACTGTCTCAACGGTTTGAATCATGTTTCTGTTGCTCGACGGTACTCGCAGGCGTTTGTGTCTTTTCGACATCCCACTGTTGGGGAGTGTCGACACGTTTATCTGCATTCTCGTATGCAGGATACTGTGTTTTGTAGCGTTGCGATGTAGTAGGCAAATTGTAACAAATTTTTGCCGTGGCACAGAAGGGAGTGCCATGGCTAAAGCAACAGGTACGGTTAGGTGTATGCGATGAGCTGCTCACAAACGATTTCTTTGCAGCGTAAACTATTTCTGTGCCGCGAATGCGGCTGCACAGTGCGATCTCTCTAGTGAGTCTTATCACAATGATGCAGATACGCTCACAAGACGAGTTCGCGCAGCTGCCGATGTGCTCAACGGCGCACAGCGTGTTACTAAGCTGCCGATGCTCTTAAGCACCAACAGCTTTTCAGTGTGTAGGTAAGCTGATTCGTTTCATCAGACAAGCCTGGAAAGTTGTAGAAATAATGCAGGCTTACTCCAGCTCTAACAGGGGTGAAGCGAAGAACAGTCAACTTTGCATAGGTCTCCCAGCTTTTTGTTGGCAGCGTGGACGTCAGCGAGGACTGCATACAAGGACGAGCAGACGAGGGCGCATTGCTGACGAGTTTCAGCAGTACTGCTCTATAAGAAATCCTGGCCGTTATCTAGAAACGCGAACGCGTAGGATGTTCGATGCTTCATCTAGCTTCGCCGACACAACCGTGCAGCAACCGTGCAGCAACTCCTCCACGGAGTCACCTCAATTGTACAGAAGCTGTCACAGCTTTCACGTCCGCATATCCACGTGAAGTTGTTTTTTTGGCACAGATGTCAGGTAGCATGGACAGAAGCAGAGCCTCTACAGTGGGGCCTGGTCCGATCCGCTCAAGCGGCAGCCGTAGCGACTCTACAGAAGGGCTTGTTTGTGCATACGGTAGTCTACACGGCCTGCCTGCAAATTCACGTAGGACCCAGGCACTCTGCACGCCCACCCTGAAGGCCCTTGTACTGTGCGTACAGCCGGCGTGGGCACGTCTTACGCATTCAACAGTCAAATGGCTATTGCCAAGAACTCAAAGCACAGGTTATACCACTTCGGGTGCTTCATGTCAGCAGCCTATAAGATCCTTCTAGGGTCCATGCACAAAGGAATCGGCGGGGTCTAACCATAGAAAACACAGCAGGTGCTTCTGACACTCACAGAGGCTGCGGCGTTGTGTTTTGGCTCTGCTAACCCGGGCCGCTGGGCATTGCAAGGAACGCTCCTTCTTCTTCGCAACTATGTGTTTGCTACGCAGGCTTGTGAAGTCCCTTTCTAGCCCATTTGTACATATAACTTATCTCTTCCTGCCTTTAACGCTGGAATTCCCCAAACATTCACACTGATTCGATCTCTGGGTGTATTTCGGGCTCTAGGCCTTAGGTTCACAAACGTTCGCAACTGTTCCCGCTTGCACTTGCGCTATCTGGGGGGCACGGGAGGCTACCATCATCTCAAACGCCTTCTGCGCTGGCTTTTGGTATGCTGTCTTCCTGCCGTTTTTTCGCCTTTGCGGGCGATGCAGGCTAGGTTTGCTACATTGCTACCTTCTGGGACGATTTTCAAGGCGTTGCCCAGGTTTTGCATGGTCTCGTTCGTTGGTGAAGCTGCCGAACGCTTCATCTGAACTCGTAGGTTCATGGCGCCTGTGTTTTCTGTGCCTCTGCAGTGCCGGGTGCAGAGCTGCCATTTGTCCGCTGAGATAGCTGGACACACATGTACCGTTGCCAATGCGTTTGTCTCCAGTTGTTCCACACTTGTATCGACAATCTTCGTCGACTGACGGTGTCTGGATGCATCCCACCAATCTATCGCTGGGGACTCTGATGATGAAACCTGGCCACGGCCACTTTTGTTGGGGGCTCTATGTCCTTATACGCTAAATTGAGTGGCTCCTCTGGAATCTGCGCATCTGAAGGAGGAATACTCGCTTTCCAACGAACTTTCGTTCTGGGTATGGGAAGTCGTATTGGGCTGCCTGGGCTTGTGACCTAAATCAACACGCTCGTATAGTAGGGTATGTAGGAGGCTGGAAAATATATTTCTATTTTTTGGTACGCTGGCTAATGAGGGCCCCGTAAGTATTTAGCATTTTCTACATTGTCAATATTTGCATCGAAAGGCAACCTAGCTTGCATGCGGGAGTTAGGCCAGGATTCACAGTATACCGAGACCCTTCGGTCTTATTGGAGGGCTGTCAGGACCTACGAATAGTCAAAAAGCTTCAGAAAAGAGTTTTCAATAAGCTTCTGACCTCCACTCCGGTCCCAGGAACGGTGGGGCTGCTGAAGGGGCTAGGCCAGGGAAAGCGGCGTGAGATGACCTGCAACCTACCTCGCTTACTCCAGTGTTGCAAAGCAACAGAGGGTGGGGCCCAACTCCAAAATGGAAACTTAACGGTGTTTACGGGAGCGGTGTCGAGCTAGCTTTAGGTAGAGGAGGGAACGAAGATTACAGCAAAAGCGGAGATGTTTCCAGAGATAGCATAGATAGAGGGGTATACACACTTCACCACTCGCGACGCATGGAGATGCGACATAACCTTTAGCTCCCGCACCAATTCTTACGTTTGCAGTTGCAGCCGATGAGTTGCGTAGGGAAGATGCACATGGGGGACTGCTTCGCAGAAGTGATCATCAGGAACCCATTTTGGTTGTCAGTCACCTGAGGACTTAAAGTAGTACCATCGTCTTCCGGAACCTGTGCAAGCTGTTACACGCGTGTCCAGGATCTCACTCTCCTTCCAATTGTTCCCTTTTTCCATGGGATTGCTATCATTCTCTGGGATGAGTGGGTGAAAACTTCGGCGGTCCCCTTTAGGAAAACGAGCATTATTGGTAGATGATATCTCAACAGGATACGTGTACGATATGCCAGCGCGTTGACCTGAAAACAAACGGAGAAGGATTCCAGCCGACGGCTGGCGAAGTTATTTGGCTACTTGCTCCCATATGTACTTCGGAAGGGGTGAGGATCCAGTAGAGCCGTCGCCGGTGTTGCAAGAGGCTGCTGGACTTCATTTGCTGTGTTTTCTTGCCCGGCATTATTCTGCCTCCTCGACACAATCTCGCGCTGACGCAGGCTCTGTATGGAAATGGGCAGTTGTGGGCCTAGCGGCCTGACTGCCTGCAGCCATGTTTAACGTGGAGTCAGACAGGGACGTTTCCGTTTATACCGGGAGCACTATCAACCCCTGAGCATTAATATGAACTTGTATAGGCACCACGCTGGTGAGGTGTGGATCACTTGGTGCGGTTGTCATTTCGTTCGGCGCCAATGCCGCGTCGCACACTGTTTGGGGAATTTTGCTCTCGTGGCGTCGCTGCTCGAGGCATTGCTTCTCCAGTTTCTTAGCATTGTGTGTGCATGCGCAATCTTGAATTATGTGACATACTTTATTGCAGAACGAACAATTATGCTGCGCGGTGCACCTTTCTGTCTTTGTGGGTGCCGAATCGCTAGCTGCTGCCGCTTTCCCCCTCTAATCCCCTTCTGGGCTGGTCTGCGATTCACATTCCCAATATGCGCAGCCAAACCCGCTTTCGTGTTTTTCGGCTGGCGTTGTGGAAGTGGCGCTTTTTCTACATTGGCGAAGGTACTCGGTCATCTCGGCGAGTTCAACCTCTCCGCTGCTCATCCGCTAACCGATCGCCTCTCCCCAGCGGAGAGCCCTGCTATGAGCTAAGTATTTACCAGCTCCGAGTCCACCATAGGAGTTCTCTTCACCGAGGGCCGATAGTTCTCGATGTACCGCTCCATCGACCGCTTCCCTTATTAAGTTTTCTCAATTCCGCCGTAGCCATTTCCCTTGCTGTCCTGGGAATAAGTGAACACTGCAGCGCATCTGGGGAAGGCTTGAATGGAGCTAATGGAAGCCCCGAAAGGGAACTGTCCGCCAAGATCCGGCCACAATCGTCACGCGCCTCCGTCTAGAAGAGAAGGCGCCAACAGCAACTGTGCTTTTCCCGGCAAGTTTTGCAGAAGAATCTTTAAGTCAAGGAAACCAAGATCTTCCTCAACTGTTGCCACATCACGAGGCTCGCGACAGTAGGTCTCCTCACAGGCCACGGTCCGATGATGCTCAGTCGCCATTACGGGCGAAGGGAGGGCTGCGGCCGACAAAAATTCCCAGAAAACGTTCGAGGGCCTCTCCTTCCTTTTAATTTACTGCTACAGGCTAGGCTGCTCTGCTTCACGGGTGTGGCGTCCGCTGCTCGTTCCTGCCCCGATGAGCCATACAAGGCTACCAGGTGTAGGGCGAGAGTTCGGCCTCATTCGAGGGGCATCGCGAGCTCCAATGAAGCCAAACGAGATACTGTACGAGTCCTATACTAGCAGATGATATCTATTCCTTGTGTCTGGGTGTACTGGGAGCAGCGTCCCAGGGCCTCGGGTTGCGGGGAAAGAGGCGGCCTGACATGAGTTCATGAGTTGCAGCGACCGTTCGCAACTAACGATGCAAGACACCATCACGTGCACGCACAAATGCAGAATCTTCGCTAAATGCATTATCGCTGTAGACACTTGTTGAGCATTTGTGTTTGCTTGCAGGGAGCCTACCGAGGCCAAGTGAATTGTCCCTCCGCTAACTTCGGGCAGCCAACGCTACAGGCAAGTTGAGATACGTGCACATACCAACTCAACGCAAACCATGCAAAAAGCTCTAAGTGTTTCATGGCTACAGGCCGACAAATTTTGTTGACAACTCAATTTGCCTTTCTAGTTCTAGCCTCCGCTACCCGGTAACGCAGTGGTTCAGTGATCACAGGTGGCACTGTGCAGTTCGTGCGTTTTATAAGACCACTGAACTAGTGCGGATGAACCTAAATCCTCTCCACTATATATTGTTCTCGCTCTTTGCTCATTTACAGAATATGCATTTCCCTGAAAAGAGGAGAACTTCTTCGTTGCTGGTCACAGCCTCGTCAAGATCCCGAAGCTTAGAGACAGTTGTGCCCACTCCCAGGCCCGGCGCAAACGCATAAATAGCAGGTGCTTAGGTGTGTTTTAGTACCAAAATATAGCAGTTAATCTAGTTTGCTTTTTTCTCGACCTTGAAGGAAACTCATCAGCCAAGGGCATATGCTCACTTTTGGAATCCGCATGTGCGTTTGTTTCCCGCTGCGGGGCTCTCTGTGCTTTCCCTTTTTGTGGGTCGGGCTCCCAGTTCAATGTTATTTTTCTCGTTGAATGCCTTTTCCTAACTGACATAGTCAAATTATATTTGAATCTCGACTGGAATCGTCGACTTGCTCTCCACCGGCACCAGGGTAGGCCGGAGCACAGCAACACAACAATACCCCGGAGAAGCTACGAACACATCACCGCTCCATTACTCCCTGTTTATCTGCACATATCTACGTTTTTTTGTAGATCCGCTTTACTTTTTTCTTAATGTAGAGTCGAGAGTTTTCCACTTTCATGGGCGCAGAAGAGCACGTTGGTACGGTCAGCGTGATGGTGATGCCGCTGGTCCGCGCTGGAATGTGGCTTCCTCTTGCTCGATTGCGTTCAATAGCATACCACAACGGCATACTCATGCATTCCTGCCTTGAGTTTATTTTTATTTGCGGTGTGTAGCTCTGTGCAGCTCCAGGCAGTTGTGCTGTATTTGCGGAAAATGGGGGCTGTTTGCGGAAAACCGGGAGCTGCGGCTGAACCGAAGACGCGAAAAGCTGCGGTGGAGGTTTCGGATTCGCCACCAGAGCCAAACGTGGCCCAGACATCACCTGTTCCCGCCGCAGCGGTTTGCCCGAAGCCCGAGACGACAGACGCTGATGCAACCGCAACAGCTGTAGCAGTGGATCAGGCAAAGGAATTCATCACGGGAGACGGCGATGGTGTTTATCTGTTGATGCTTCAGGAGAATAATATGCCTTCTCTTGTGCAGCAATACTCACACAGCAAACCAGAGGTAGCAGAAGGAGATATGCTGCTGTTGCAGGTTAAACCGCCGGTATATGCTCCCATAAAGGAATCCAGATTCACGTTGCAGAACGGAAGAAGGACACTGAAGATGGGCCTAACGGTAACCAAACTTCAGCTCCCTAACTCTATATTTTTTTTCAGCATTTAGATGGAGTTTCAGTTGCTCACTGCTCAGTATATTTCAGGACGCTCGGCTCACTGGTGGAGGCGCACACAACCCTCAGCAAACAATTTGTTCGTTACAGTCTGTATAAGTGCAGAATAGTGCTAACATTTGCCGGTTTCTTCACCAAAGTGGACATTCTACGTCTGCTGCAAGTTTATCCTTTGAGGTTTTATGCGTATGTTTTCATGGTTTTCCTTCACTCTCAGCTCCTTGCTGCTGTTGCTGTTGTTCGCTGCTGCTGGTTGCTGATGCTTGTTTCCGAGGCCTTCTGATACCTTGTGTGTTGTTCTTAGGCGGCAATGAAGAACGCTGACGGGCAGAAGAAAGTTTGCGAGGCGGTGATGGAATGTCTGCGCCTGACGTTTGTATATTCCGGTTATATTCACGCCTACGCTGCATTGGCCGAAGCTCCTTTTTCTGTTCTACTCGTTGTTTCCGAGCGTCACGAGGCTGTAAGCTGGATGTATAATATATCCTGTGTATATATGCTTAGTTAAGCCGCCGGTTTCTGCTTAACTCGGAACGAGAGCTTGTCGCACCTTCAGGGCGTTGCGCCTCCTGCTTAGGGGCTAGAATGCGCTTGCACATTTTCTTTCTCACCAGTTCTTGCCGTCCAGCTCATTGGAGAGTCTCTGCCTTGCATATAACGCAGCATCTACTAGTATACTTGATCTACAGAGAGGGATCTGCCTAGCTGCCAAAAGCCTGCAGTGTATTGTGCGGCTTTCAGCTCCCGTTCCAACCGCGTCTTTTTCTATTTCCTCGGTATATTCATTAATTTGTGTTTTTACCCACTTGCTTAATAATTTTTTCTGCTTTAGGCGGCCATTAAAGAGAGCGACGATGGATATAAAATTGTGGGCAGTGCAGCTGATGAGGCATCGCAGACGAATGCGGGAACGGAACAGACGGGAGAGGACGCTCACAAGACAGAAGGAAGTGCTGCAAAGACTGGCGGTAAGCAACATATTTAAGTGTATAATTCTCTGATTCCTGTCTAGTTAATGTACACAGGGGGCGATTGTCCTCTACTCAGTAATCCGGACTTCTCAGCACCGTCTTAGTTTGTTTCTTTGTTTGTTCATCTGTTTTTCCGTGTGTCTGTATGTGTATGTATCACTGCACTTGTTTCACATTTCCATTTGTCCGTTGCAGGTGAGGCTCCAGCGGAGGGTGCAGGGGACGAGAATTCAGCAGCGAAGGAGCAGAAGGAAGAGGCGGCGCCAACCGCATCTGAAGGCAACGAGCAGCAAGGAGAAACAAATGACAAGGAAAAGAAGGATAAAGGAGATGAAAAACGAACGATATTCCAGGATTCATCGCCAGAGCCCGCCGACGTAACAACAGCGCCCAAGGCACTTGACCAGATGCAGGTTCTCCGCCACGTGGCTGAAGGCCGGTCACCAAACTTTTCTCTGTTGCAGTTTATTATTGTTGTTCCACTCACCAAACCAAAAGCAGAAGAAACTCTCAAGGATGGATGGGTCATTGACGAGGAAAACGTTGAACAGCTCAAGAAACAAGTCGACAAACTTCGTAGGTTCCCTATAAACTAGTGCAATGCAGCCTTCGGTGTACTCCGTAATTTTCTTTTCATCAGCTAAAGGTGACTGAGTCGGCTACTGACACGCCATGTGAACACCTAGTTCCGCAATTCCCGTGTTCACACTTGCTTTCTTGCATCGGGTTTCTTAATTTGTCCCGGCGATAGGTAGGTAGGTAATTCTTTGTTTCGCCGTATCAGAAGCATTTGCAGCTCATTCAGTCTATCAACTTTTCCTTGCTGGTCTGACCCACGCTTTCAGCTCCAGTTAAGAGTGGCGCAGCAGCGAGAGGCATCTCTGGGTGCATGAACAGGAAAGAAGTCTGCCGCGGCGAGTGAAACGCATAAGTTCAAGTAATTGAGTAGGGATTGTTGATGTTTCTGTGTGCTGTTTTTTTTTTGCATGCGCGTCTTCAGATGGCGTCATGATCGCAGCCGCACAGGAGAAGGGGGCGCAGTAAAGAGCAGGAGGAAGCGATGTTTTTTACCGCAACACACTTATATTGGCAATATATATATATATATGGGGAGCCCATCACGTAGCCTTTTCAGCACATGAGGCGTGTAGGTGGCTGCCAGTTTGTATATCTACCTTTGCAGCTAGCTAGCTCCCTGTCTAGCACGGCACCTAGCTGACCGCCGCGATATGAATAAGCTTACTCATAGACGAGCCAGGGCAACTGCGGGGGAGGTGGGTGGCGTAACAGGCTTCTGTATGGTTGTGCGGTGTTGTTGCGCCTCGTTGAGAGGGCAGCCACAGAGTGAGACAAACGCTGCTCTACAGCGCTACAGCTCGCTTCTCTCTCTCCTGAGTACAGCCAGTGTAGGGCGTGAAAACACCCTCTAGAATCATCCAGGGAGCGAACACTCTGCGTGGCGTTTTCCTTTTCCGCCTCTCTGCTGCTGCTCCGCTCGTGGGGTTTTGTGCTGCACGGCAGGTGGGTCGTGTAGACACTCTTCAGACGTTGGCCTCTATGTGCAGTATATACAAGATACGTATAAATATTGTCTACATAGACTTACACAAGTGTTCCTCCTGTACTTTTACGTGTCAGTATCGTTCTGGACAGGGTAAATATGAGCCCTGAAGAGCAAGCTAGAGCGTCTTAGTTCGGTGGTGAGCCTCTGCAGTGTAGAGAATACATCCGCCTGCATCCGGCGCACAGCGGCACAGAGCCCGATAGTAGCAGGCCTGAGACGAGCGGCAACACAACTGGCTGCAACTCCTGGCGCAAGGGTCCCCTAGGTGCACACTTACCGAACCCCTTTGTATGCATATCATAACACTGTAGAGTTGCTTGGCCCTCAGTAGCCAACCCACACATGTTCAACTTCCCTAGTCTACGGCAGAAACGAGCTGCAACGTAGGTATATAGTTTAAGTAAGAGATTCACAAGAGCAGGTGACCCCATTCCCCTGTCCCGAGGCGTTCTGGGCGTTGAGCTCAGGCCTGGATGCTCCTGCGAGGAAGCAACCTGAAACGGGGTTGCAGCGCACCTCGGTAGTACAGGGCAGCCTCGCGTGTGTGCATAAGGAAGCTTCAACCAAGCTTCCCTCGTTTCATGATTTATATCTAAATACATTTATAGAAACATTTATGTAGTGCTTGCCTCTATCTACACACCAGCCACCGAAGCCAACTGAAGGACCCTGCGCCAACTGTCGGCAGACCATGCAACGACCCAGTTCAGAAATGCAATACTACATATACAAGCTCCTCGATGCAAACATAAATAGCGTAAATAGCTGTTAAACATTTAATTCGCACTCAGTTTCCACCCTGCTCGCAAGCAGAAGTACCAACCCTGCAGAGACGACACCGCGGCAACCACCATGCTCGCCTGTGGGGGGGGCGGTCGCTGGTGCTGCAACAATTGTTGAGGTATTGCTAGCAGTTCCCCCATGACAGACAAAAAGACTCTCTTTTGCAAACATTTAGGTGTATGTACAGCCGAAACGCGCAGCTTTCCACTCAGTGAGCTTACTGTTCAGGCGCGTCTAGGCATGTATGCCGTATCAACGAGCTCAGGGTGGTGTAGGCTGCAGGCTAAGTGAGGTGTCTGTGTATTGGATGCCGTATCGTTTGTTCTTCGTGTTAAAAAATATATTTAAAGGAAAAAACAAACAAATTCTCGTGTGCAGGTGAGGCGCTGAGAGGGGGGGGGGGGNGGGGGGGGGGGGGGCTCCACGGCGAGCCAACTTGCACAGCACAGCCAAGGGACGCGGCTAGTGTGCTGCGGGGGCGCGGCAGCACGCTGCAGCGCCCTTCGTTTCTTGTAGGTTTGAATTCGACACAATTTAATGTTTGTTCATTTCTAGGAAGAAACGAAGACTGCTGCTCTGAGCCTGTGTTGTTGCCGTTGAGGAGAGGAGAGGTCTGCTTGCCTGCTTGTATACAGCAGCGTCATCTGCATCAGTTTCCATTCCTTTTTTTTCAACAAGTCGAAATGAGGCGCCCAAAGATCGCTCTTGTTGGTGGAGGACAGATTGGTGCGGTATTGGCATTTCTTTCCTCGCTAAAGGAATTAGGAGATGTCAGTATTTTCGACGTCGTTGAGGGTAAGCAGAGAAAAACTCTCTTCTTGTTCATGCGGTGAGGGCCGGGCAAGCGGTCCCCTAGGGCGTCTTCGTGTAGTTTTGCGTCTCTTCCGCTTGATAAGACACATTCCGTAGCACTAAGTGATGTGTTTTGGAGAGGCGTTGAGATACAAACAGCTGCGAAACGCAGATGATCGCGCTACTTGCATACCGGGTGTACGTGCACCTGCCGTGGACGACAGTTCGTCGATTGCAGACGAGAGGCGCATCGAGAGAAAGCCTTCAAAAGAATCTGCGGATATTTTTGAATACTTTTTCAAAAGGGAATAGCAGTAGTAACCTATTCCTTCATTTTATTTCTCGTGTTCAACCGCTCACTCTATGGCCCGGCCCGGCGTTGTGCTGTTCTTCTCTCAGGTATGCCGCAAGGGAAAGCTCTGGATATCTCTCACGTCGGCCCCGTTGAAACCGTCGACTGCAGGATTTCTGGTTCAAATCAATTCGCAGCGCTAGAGGGTGCAGATGTCGTCATCGTCACCGCAGGTGTAAGCAAAGTTTCCTCGTTTCTTATATGGCTGTGCAGCATCATACAACTTGAATCTTGTATAAAAAGGTGTATTTCTCGGTGTTTCAGGTGGGGGGGTTAGTGGTGATGGTGGGGCGTAAGTTTCTGTTTCTGTACAAACATATACAATATTCATGTTGTATGAAAGCTCTGCGATGCTGCACAGAGCGTCTTCAGTTGCTCTGAGTTTCATTGGCGCTTGCACTTTTCTTGTATTTGTTTTTTTGTTCAAGTGCATGCAGTAGGATGTTTCTAGTTCAGCTACTGCTTGCTAGGCTGTGCTCTATATAAATATGTACATGCTATGCATGCATGCATGGATGCATGCATTGTGTATTCTGCTCAGCTCCTCTTTTTTTCTTAGTATAATTTGTTTCTGTTTCTCGGTGACAATGCATGCAGTGTAGTGTATATATTTCCTATTTAATTTAATTTTATTTTTTTTTCTTTTTCAGGTTCCTCGCAAGCCCGGCATGTCCCGCGACGACCTGCTGAGCATAAACTCCAAGATCATATCAGAAGTGGCAGATAACATAAAAATGCATGCACCTGACGCTTTCGTCATTTGCATCACCAACCCCCTTGGTGTGTACATACACCGCAATGCAACACACAAATTCATACTTACACCCATCCTTGCCAAGCAGAAACATATATATATATATATATATATATATATATATATATATATATATATATATATATATATATATATTGATGCAAGTGTATGAGCATGTGTATATGTTTGTGTGTGTGTGTGTATTTCAGACGCAATGGTGCAGCTGATGAGAGAACGCAGCGGCTTGCCGCATGCAAAGGTGGTGGGGATGGCTGGGGTGTTAGATTCGGCCCGCTTTCGTTCTTTTGTAGCTGAGAAGCTGCAGGTTTCTGTTGAGGATGTACAAGCCATGGTTATGGGGGGACACGGAGACGCCATGGTTCCCCTACCCAGATACTGCACAGGTATGCTCTTCTGCATACACTGAAACTCTTGCTGTTGCTGCTGCTGCTGCTTTTCCCCTTGCTGCTGCTGCTGCTGCTGCTGCTGCGCTTTTTGCTATTGCTGCTGCTGCGGCGGTGGTTCGTTCTATTGGTGGTGTTGCTGCTGAGTGTTTGGATTGCAAGTGGTCGTCATAGATAGAAGTGTAGATACATTTCTTTTCTCATTACTTGCGGTGTCTGCGTATACACCTGAATGCAGTGTCTGGCATCCCGCTCCCGGATTTGGTGGCGATGGGTCAGCTCACGCAGAAAGATGTCGACGATATTGTGCAGCGCACGCGCAACGGGGGTGGAGAGATAGTCAAGTGAGTGGTGCAGCACAGCAGCAGCAGGAAATATATATATATATATATATATATATATATATATATATATATATATATATATATATATATAT